AAAAAGAGTTCTTTAAAACATTCTTAAAAGCACAAACTGATAAATTAGACCTCATTAAAATTAAAAACTTCTGATCCAAAAAAGACCCCAAGACCACTGCTGAGTGAAAGAAGACACAAAGGAGCACATCCTGCATGATTCTATTCACATAAAATTCTAGAAAATGTGTAAGAGTTCATAACAATGTGAGATTGATCAGTGATTGCCTAGAGCCAGGACAGAAGGGTGGAATTAACTGCAAAGGGCATGCTGTAAATCTTCTGTGTCTTGATTGAGGAGGTGGTCTGCTGAATTTATTTCACATCACTCAATACTCCCAAACCGTAGGCTTTATATGGATGCAGTTTATTCTATGTAAGCTATGTTTCAATAAAATCTGTTTTGTTCTTATGATACTCCTTTGAAAGAGTCTGAATATGGAAATAAATGTCACGGTAACTACCCTTAAGGAGTTCATAGTCATTCCCCTGAATGTCACTTTCTCCTATTAAGAGACTGGTGGGTTTCCACTGATCTTTTGCTTTCTTTTTGTCCTATTTGTGTTACTTATATTTGCAACATGGGATAAAGGTTTAATTTGTGGCAGACAGAATCTGAAGCTTCAATTTCCTTTCCTCTAAATCAGAGTTTACAACCATCTTAGTCTTCCTATCAGAATATGACTTTCAAATAAAATTGCTGATTAAGCCCAATGGGCTGATTAAGCACGGAGAAGAAAGAATAACATTCATTTGCAGTCCAAAGTTAAAACATGAAGTTGAAATACCTCTTAATAAAGCAACCAGATACTTTTCATGCCGATAAAATTAGTGAAGACAGACTCCTGCAACATTCAAATAGATTTCATCCTAAGAATGGTATAAAGGGACACCTTAAACTACCATAAATTAACACGTATCAAAAATTTTCACACACACACAAAGAAATTACCCACCTGAATAAATACTCAGTTTTCATACAATTCTCACCCTGCAACATTCTAAACACTATATTTTTAAGATCAAATATACAAGACAAACTTACCGGAGAAATGATCTAGTACC